AATCAGCTGGGCTGATTGTTTTAGCCTGTTTAATCTCCGGTGCTGCTGGGTCCAGGCTCCGCCCCTTGCTGGCTCATCCAGTCAGTGGGTCTGGACTCAGTTGCTTGGGGAATGCCCCCTGTTCAGTCATAGTCTCTTCTTGTACTCCTGTGTCCTTCGCTGCTGCTTGCTGCCACTGCTGCCGGTGCTCCTTGCACTGCTCTGGAGTCCATTGCAATCTGAGAAGTTTCTCCTTCAGGTCAGAAATTGAATAAAATCTTTGGCTGAATGGGAAAATCAGGGATGTCCCACATTTAGCTCTACCTGCCTATCCTACTGCTCTTTTTTTTCTGCTTTTACTCTGGTTTCTGCTCCAGCTATTGCTACTGCTTCTGGTTTGTAAGTACCTTTCTGACAAAAATTATAGGGCCAGGACTGGAACCTAGCCAGTTTTCTGTGGGAACAGTCCACATGCCATTTGTACCTGCTGATTTGGTTTTGGGGCAAGAGCAAGTATCCAGACTGCGGGATGATCTGTAGAAGGTGATGCAAAGCATGTGGCATCTTTTGCATTTGTAACCCTACATGGGCTGACATGCAGCAACTATTTGAGACTGTTTTTACTCCTGATGAAAAAAATTAAAATCTGGGAAACAAATCACAGATGGCCTGGGGAAGCATAGGGCAGAACCCCATGGCCAGCCAGTGACCCAGGTCGATCCCCCAAAGTTATCAGCCGATAGAGATATGCTGCAGAGTGAGAGGGGAATTGTTAAAATCCTTAGAACTGGCAGGAAGGAAGACTGTAAATTGGGCTAAGGTCTGAGAATGCCAGCAAGGAAATGCTGAACATCCTTCTGAATATTATACCCAATTGGTTAAACAAGTGAGAATGTTTGGAGGGGTCAACCCTGAGAAGGAAGAAAATCAATCTTTAATGATATCTTTCTTTGTATATCAGTCAGCCCCAGATATTAAGAAATATTTTTCTAAACATATACCTGGATGGCAGGGTAAAGGATTGGATTAAATAGTCAACATTGCTATGTTCATGTTTAATGGAAGAGATGAAAGACAGCTGAAGAAAAAAGAAAAGAACAGAACACGAACAGAAAGCTAGTCTATTAGCAGCAATATTGAATAGCAATCCTAGACTATGGGGATGGGGATATGAAGGTTTTCAAGGCAGAAGCAGAGGAGGAAATTTTAGGAGCAATGGGCCTCAAGGAACAGGGGACTGTTGCAATTATTGTGGATAACAAGGTCATTGGAAACGGGAATGCCCGGTACAACCAAAAAACCTCTCAATCCTATAGTGCAATCTTTCCCTGCTCTGCGCAACTGGGGCAGCTAGATTTCACCCAGGATTGACAACAGGGACCTATTGTCCAGTCACTACAGGAGCCTCTGAATACAAAGTATTTTCCCCTTCTTCTTATGAGAATGTGGTCTTAAACCTTTTAATTAATGAACACAATTACCCCTAATACATACAGGGCAACTTTTTCTACCTTAAATCGGTATACATATTCATCCGGACTCTCAATACCTTTTTGCATTTACTTGGGGAAAGATACAGCTAACAGAGACAAGGCTCCCTCAGGGCAGTCCTCCACTATTTTTCTAAAATTTTAGTAAAAGATTTGCAGGATGATGTGTTTAAAAAATGGATCTGTTTTTGATACAATATGTTGATGATTTATTAGTAGCTAAGGAATCTTGTATAGCTGGCACCCATACCTTACTGTTTGCCTTAGCTGAGAAGGGCCGTTAGGCTCCTCTGCATAAGTTACAATTTTTTTAAATGAGAAGTGTAAAATATCTGGGTTACATTCTCCAGCAAGAGAAGTGAGGTTTATCTGAGAACCATATTAAAGCCATTCAAAATATTCCCTGACCAGTTACTAAAAAGAAATGCGAGCCTTTTTAGGAACTGTAGGATTCTGCTGACCCTGGATAGCTGCTTTTGAGGAAATGGCAAAATCACTGATACAGATTACTGCTCAAGATGCTGGAGAACCCATTCGCTGGACAACAGACAAGGTAAAGACATTTGAGCTTTTGAAGCAAGCTGCACCTGCTCTGGGATTGCCAGACTACGGTAAGCTATTTGCCTTGTTTGTATATGAATGGAAAGGAATAGCCTCGGGGATGTTAACTCAAAGCCTTGGGAGATGACAATGTCCAACTGCACATTATTCAGCTCAGCCAGATCTGGTAGCTCAAGGATCCATTGCCCACACCTATGCAACAGCTGCCGCAGCACTCTTAGTTGAACGGAGTAAAAATCTAGTGCTTGGACACCCTCTAATGGTACAAGTACCACACGAAGTTGAAATGCTGCTGTTACAGCATGTTACGCAGGCAATGTCACCACAATGAATCACTATGAGCTGATTCTCTTAACAACGGAAAACATAACAATTAAGCAGTGTAATACACTGAACCCTGCTACTCTATTCCCGTTAGCTGGGGAAGGAACTCCATATCACGATTATGTAGTAACAACCCGTGAAGCTGAAAAGACTCAAGGAGATTTAACAGATGTGCCATTTCTAGATCCCAATCTAGAACTATTTGTAAACTATAGAATCATAGAATGGTTTGGATTGGTAGGGACCTTTAAAGGTCATCTAGTCCAACCCCCCTGCTATGAGCAGGGACATCTTCAACTAGATCAGGTTGCTCAAAGCCCCATCCAGCCTGACCTTGAACGTTTCCAAGGATGGGGCATCT